AGGGATAGGATAGGATAGGATAGGATAGGATAGGATAGGATAGGATAGGATAGGATAGGATAGGATAGGATAGGATAGGATGGGATGGGATGGGATGGGATGGGATGGGATGGGATGGGATGGGATGGAAATAGGGCTCCGGGCTCCCTCACCTTTCTGTGGCTTTGCCTTTGGGAAGGTGATGACACAGAAACTGCTGGTCCATAAAGGCAGCGGTCAGGGCGGCTCATTACCCAGGAACATTAACACCAGTTCTGCTGATACTGTTCCTTCCACCGGATCATCAACTTTAATTCATCCTTTTGACGATCAAGGTTTTGCCAGGGCAAGGCCTCCTTCCAGCTCAAACTAATTCACAAGCTTTTCACTAAAACCTTATTTATTCTGGCTGCTTATCAGCTCCTGGAGCTCAGCGAGGGGGGAGGCGATGGGTCTGTGATATAAGCCCCTGGCCGGGGATTTTGCAGCGATGGGAGCAGCAGCAATCGCAGGAAGGAACAAGAGGAAAAGCCCAGGGAGAAACAATAGGTTACAACACAAACACCACAGGAATTTCAAGGCAGGGCTGGAGGGGAGGGTGATGCTCGGGGGGACCTTTGAGCTGAAATTCCCCCAAAACAGGAGGGTCCAGCCTGGATGGACAGAGCCACGTCCCTCCTGCAAGGGCAAGGTCAGGTGCGATGCCCTGTGCCTGGGTTCACACAGCTCTTGCCCCTCTCTCCTTGGGCTCTGCTCTTTGGCTTTGGTGGCTCTTGGCTTTAACCCCCCGATGACGGTTCCCAGGGGAGTGGTTGAACTCATTTACCGCAGGGCTCTAAGTGGCTGGGGGAGACCGGCTTCTGATTGTGGCAAACGACGCTCTTAGTTATCGCAATTAACATTTTAAAACACGCAGGGGCACTGATTTAATCAGAGAAATAACCGTATGAGAGTCCAGGCACCTCACGCATATTTATGGCTTTAATTATTCATAATAACATTACCGTGGGCTTGATTGAAGGGTTCGTTGTGCGTACCTACTGATCCCGGCTCAGGGTGGATGCTTGTACCGAGTGCATGGTACAGCGTTTTTTGTGCTGGGTTATCCCAAAAGCTTCTGGGATGGCGATAGGCCCCCCACTTCACTAGCTCCATGGTGGGGGGCTCCCCAGGCCAGCACAGCCCCTGCACCAGCCTGCCGGGAAGGCTGCACAGGGTTAAATCACAGCAGCGGCTGCGGTTCTGTTCCCTCCCTTAACCCCACATCCGAGGGTGAGTGGCCTTCGTTTGATCTCAGTTTTCGTATTGCAGCTCCGTCCCTAGACCCGCGCGGAGGGAGCTGCCTTTGTGCCGTGGGACGCTGAGCCGCCGCCTCTTCCCGCCGTCCCGCCGGGCGCCCAGCGCAGAGGTGAGAACCGGGGACCCACCGCCGGGCGCCCAGCATCAGCGGGGCGCCCGGTGGGCTGCAGTGCTGGATTCTCAGTCTGATTTGCTCGGTGCTCAGGAGAAAAAAAAAGAGAAGAGACATAATATTTTGCAGATTGGAAGGTCTCGCAGCTGTTAATGAGCTGTTAATAAGCATCAGTCTAGTTTTTCCCCTGGAAGTAGGCGGGTAATAGACATTTTTTTTCGGATGAGGCTACAGCCACATCCTGGTGGAGGCAAGGGACTGAATCACGTCCTGTGGTGCAGGGAGCTGATGTCTCTTGGTCAGGGGGTGGAAACCCAGTGAGGAGCCACGGGAGCATCTTCCTCCGGGGCCAGCAGCAGGGTCCCCATGGGATCCCCCGTACCCGTGTGCTGTGTCCCCTCTCTCCATGGCCTCTTGTGCCCGTGCGTGCTGGGGGCGGGCGGTGTCCGTCCTGTGGCTGTGATTAACACCATGTGTTTGCTGAGAAGAAACACACACAGAAACATCACCCGCCGGAGAGCCCGGGACTGACCAGGCTGTGGTTTATTTACAGATAATGGCATTTTCCAATTTGTCCAGTTACTTGGATGATGTCGATAACTACAGCGACTACCCAGATTACGTCTACGAGGAGACCAGCAGCGTGTGGACAGATCCGTCCCACGACCCGAAGGATATCGCCAGGATTCTCTCCGTCGTCATCTACAGCGTGTCCTGCGTGTTGGGCGTCCTGGGGAATGGCCTCGTCATCGCAATCATAACTCTGAAGATGAAGAAGTCGGTCAATGCCATCTGGTTCCTCAACTTGGCCATCGCCGACTTCCTCTTCAACATCTTCCTGCCCATAAACATCGCTTACACGGCCATGCGGTACAACTGGATCTTTGGGACGGTCATGTGCAAGTTGAATTCCTTCCTGCTCATCCTCAACATGTACACCAGCGTCCTTCTGCTCACCACCATCAGCTTCGATCGCTACGTGTCAGTGGTTTTTCCTGTCTGGTCTCAAAACCATCGGTCGACCAACCTGGCCTATTTAGTTTGCTTGATTATCTGGACCGTCGGCATCATTATGAGCTGCCCGTCTCTCATCTTCCGAGACACAGCACAAACCCGCAACTCTGTGATTTGTTTTAGCAACTTTTCCCTCTCCAGGAATAAGTCTTACCAAGCCCTGGCACTAATGAGGCACCGAACAGTGAACATCACCAGGTTCCTCGCTGGGTACATCCTTCCCATAACCATCATCACTTTCTGCTACATCGCTATTGTCTTCAACTTGCGTCGAAACCGCCTCGCCAAGTCCAAAAAGCCCTTCAAGATCATCGTCACCATTATAGTCACCTTCTTCCTTTGCTGGAGTCCCTACCACCTGCTGAACCTCCTGGAAACAGAGCCCGACACGATCCCACACTCCGTGTTTGAGATCAGCATCCCCTTAACCACAGCGCTCGCTGCCTCCAACAGCTGCATGAACCCCGTCCTCTACGTCTTCATGGGCCAGGACTTTAAGAAGTTTAAGGTCACCATCCTTTCCAGACTGGTGAACGCCCTCAGTGAGGAGACAGGCCACTCCAGCATCGTTCACAGGAGCTTCTCCAAGATGTCTTCAATGACTGAGAAGGAGACGACAGTCCTCTAACTCAACCTGGATGCCTGCGGGAGGGCCGTAGTCCTCCAGTGTTGCCCATGCCCATCACTATGATGGTGGCCACCGTGGAAGTGGCCGCTGGTGTGGGACGAGCATGGTCCAACGCTGTCCTATAGCGCATTCTTTGACTGGTCTTGCTGCCTGGGGACTGGCAGAAGTTGGAGACCAGCGCTCTGTGCACGTGAAGAGATCCGACGGCCTTCCTTTGCGATTGCAAAGATTGCACAAAACTATTTAAGAAAACGTTTCAGGGCATTCCTACCTAATCTATGCATTGCCTGGCCTGGCAGGGGTGTTCCTGCCATTTCCAGAGACACCGTTACGAGGAGATGGGGTGGAGGATGGGTCTGGGAAGGCACCTCCACCGCCAGGCTCCTGCGATGGGTGGCTGGGTGAGCACTGGCCGTGGACGATACCTGCTACGGCAAAACTGGTCACAGTTTTCCGATGTCCTATGTATGCCTACAGCTACTCCTGTTAAAGTTCTAAGTGTATTGGTACTCGCACAATATGTTTTTAACTGTGTCGGGAGCATTTTGTTCCCAAAGAGCTCCCAAGAAGTGCCTTCAGAAGAGGGGCTTGAGTATCCCAACCTCGACGAACCAGGAAATCTCACGTGTCTTCTAAGTGATCCAGACCCAGGGCCACCTGCCAAGGTGGGGATTGGGCTCATGCACAGGGTCGCCGACTTGGGAAACTAGGAGAAAAAAGAGGGAAGGATTCATCCGAAGTGTCTTTTGAACAAGCCCCACTCTGATGGGGTTTCGCAGAGTGTTTGATGCTTGGGCCTGTGAGTCCCAGTGGCTCCATTCAGAGTGGCACCGGGAGGCAGATCCATGGGCTGGGGACTGTGGTCCTGGGGGAGGACCTGCTGTCCCCTCCTGCATCCAGGTTGTCCCGGTTCAGCTAGGATAGGGTTAAGTTACCCCAGCAGAGAGAGGGGGAAGGGATCTCCAGCCAGGTTATTCATACCATGATGAGGTCAGGTCCAGGAGCTGAAACTTTTTCCTTTGTGGCTTTGGTGGCGGGAAGCGCACGTCAGGTTTGTTCCGTGACCATTGCGGTATTTCTCTGTATATCTTTTGTCTTGTTCACTGTTATTGCTGTTTATTGTTGTCATCATTGCTACTGTTGTTGTTCAGATTGTTTATCACACTGTTGTATTCAATTTCTTCTGATTTTAACCCGGGGTTTGTGCCTCACTTCCAGCCCGACCGGCTGAGGGCGGGGGTAGGGACAATGGCAACGTGGTCTCCGGTCCCGGCAGGGCTTAAACCACCAGACAGGTCGACCTGGGGACTGGTTCCACTGATGGCTGCTCCCTGGTGTGATCAGTTGGTCCTATGGGAAGATTTTGCCTCTTCCCAACCAGGCAGCAAGCCCATCGCCAGTGGGAGACTCTGCCGCCGCACAAACCTCTGCGGTGAAGGATTGGCCAAGCCACCACCTCTGTCCAACTTCATGCACAGTTAATTTGGGAGATCCTTCACCATTTGGGCTTCTTGACTATGACACCGGTGGCACTCTTCTTCATGTGTTGGTTTCTCCGTGTCACCCACAGCCTCTCACTCCCAGGAAAGTGAGGAACAACTGAGTCCCCCACCTGTGCCGGGTGCTGGAGCCGATCCGATCCCTGGAGCTGGGTCTGAACAGTCCCCAGTGGCACCAGGGATGTTTCGGGGGGGGGGGGGGGGCCCC